AAGCTCACCAGGGAATCCCAAGGGGAGGGGGGGGCACGGGAAAGGCACTGTCCTGACTTCATATGTAATTGGGGGAGTCATCCGATTTGATTGGATTCCTGGCCTGGGAGGGCTGTGTGAGCTAATTTGCAAGAAACCAAATAGGCAGAGTATGAAATCCATACCGGGAGAGAGGGTTCTTGTGCAGCATGCCCGATGGCTGCCAGCAAACCACACTCCTCTGCCCCTCCGGTGCTGCGGAGCTCGTTGCGGAGCACAGCCCCTTCCTCTGCCTCCCTGTCCCTACAGACAGGTCTCCTTCCTTCCCTCCCTCCCTCCCGGCGCCGTCTCCGGGCCAGCCTGCACTGGAATGGGTGACGTCACCATGTTTACACGGGGCTCGTGGCACGGTTCTGCGATCAGGAATGTGGAGAATGGGGCCTGCGTTGAATCATGCGTGGTGCTGTCAGCTCCCTTGTGCTGCCTTTGAGCTGAGGAGAGAATTGGCTGCTCTTGTGCTGAGTTCAGGCCTTTTGAGCTCTGGGGAAATGTGTTGAGGCTGCATTTTCTTCATTGCAGTCATTGCGTTTGGCACTTTTCAGTGTGATCTTTCTTCAGGAAGCTATCAAAAGCTAAGCAATCAGCAGTCTGGAGAGTTAGGCCAAGTTTGGTCTCTGTCTTGGTGCCAGTTCTCTGGGTGTCCTCTCTGCGAGCTGCTAAATAGCCCTGTCTCTGATCCTTCAAACGGGACCCAAAAAATAGCCAAAAACTAGTCTCCGCGTTGTTCTTCCCATTCCGCTGACTGACTTGTGTGTTGCTGCGTCTCATTTTGATCTTCTTGGGAAGGGGGACTTTGCAGGGTCCAGACTGTGTGAGCACCCCTGCTGATTCCCCAGTCTGCCCCAAGGAGCTCTCTTCCCAGTATCCTGCCTGATGCAGCAGGTTTGTTGCCTTGTTTGTTTTGTTCAGCTCTGCTGTAATGAAGGAAGCTTGAGTGCTTGCCAGGCAGCTGGAAATTCTTCAGCGCCACAAGGCAAACAAATCTCTGTGGTCCCACTGACCGTACCTGGCCTTAGCTCCCTGTGCTCAGCAGAGGATGGTGCAGAGAGGTGCTGCAGGGGTCTCCCAGCTATTCCCTTCCTTCTCCCCTTTTCCCAGCAGCCCTGTTGTTTGCCAAGTAGGAGCAGAGGAAAGAAATACAACAGTATGCGAAAGAGTGAAGAACTGATTTTATGAAGCAGTTGCCTGTGTGCTGTCTGTCCTGTGTTTGCCTGCTTCATTGCAGCTACCTTTCTTGAACGGCAAAGTGACCCTTTCTACACCAGCACTGGCAGGTTGTAGCGGACATCTCATTGGAAGGAGCATTGTTCTCTGGGTATAAATAGCCTGCCTCCTGGCAGGCTGGAGGCTTTGGGAACGTCTCTGCTGGTGTCCTGGGGAATGTTGACCCCTTTCACCTCTAATAGGTGGTAGATGCATTGCGGGGAGCCTGCACCACAGCTGCTAAAAGAGCATAAATTCATATTTGCTGACTTGTGCATCTGGTTCTTGGCTGTAACTGTACATCAGTGCCTCTTACATTTAGCAAAGCAGTAGCAAACAAAATTTGTTGACTGTTTGACATCAAAGAGACGGAAGGGGCAGAGGTGTTTGTAGACTGTGCTTGCACAGGAACACTTGCCTCGCTTAAGGAGGTGTGCAGTTCTTGGCTGTTCGAGGTGCAACTATTTCTGTCGAGCAGTATCTGAGTGGATTAATTCATTGGGCAGTGTAGTGGCACTCTGAACTAAAGCCTGAGGGGGGGAGGTATGTAGAAACAGAAACAGGAGCTTGGATATGATTGTCTGTAAAAGCAGGCCTGGGAATTGCTCTTACCAGTTCTGACGTTCCGTGGCAGTGAAGGAGTCGGCTCTCCTCTGGTTTTGGCTGCCCTTAATCTTTGTTTTCTTATGAGCATACCTTGACTCTGAAGATAAGGGAGGGAGAAGGTGGTTCTGGGCCCTGGCATTGCCAGGGACCGATAGGGACTTTCTCACAGGAGAGACCTACAGCTGGGGTCAGCTTTGCGTGCCTGGGGGGGATGAAAGCTGCTGAGGCATTGGCCTGAATTTGTGATAGCATTCCAGTGTGCCCAAATGCTTCCTTGTGTTGCAGTATCAGGTTGTCCTTCTATTCTTTGGGAAAGGTTGGGTGCAGAACTTTGACTTGAACCTGAATGTGCTGGCTTTCCTGGGAAGCAGAAAAAGTTTGGAGAGGTGTGAGCGCAGCAGTGGCGTTCTCCCGTCCTGCAGGATGCCCAGCGAGGCGTGTTGCGGAGGCAAAGGCTTCCCCTGCGCTCCTTGCCCAGGGTCACGTGTTCTTGAACCGTACTGGTTTGGATCCTTGGGGGCACGTAGAATCTGGTGGGACTCTTGTCCTGGGCAGTTTCTGGGCTGTGCTTGGGCACCTGTTGGAAGGGCGCGTCGGAACGACTAGCTGCCTCGCTCTGCTTGGGAGTTACAGGGATGAGGCAGGGAGCAAGAGGCGCAGAGTGCCAGCGTGCTGAGTCAGCATGACTGGCCTGGAGCAGCCGTGCTCTGGACCCAGCCTGCTGCCTGCCAGGCTATTTTTAAAAATGTGGCTTCCGTGTATTCTGACTCCTCCTAGTTTTTTAATTTCCCCCACCCCAAGCAAAAAAACCAGCATTGCCACAAGGCCTCCGTGGGAGTAGGGGTGTGGAAGGGCAGCAGTTTCTGCTCAGGGACAGAATTTGCCGCTTGTGAGTCCAGCTCGGTCGGGTGCTTGTCAAATGTTGCCCGGGGAGGGGAGTGGGATGTGCAGCAGCACGGGGCGTTGCTGCTGGACCCTGGCAGAGGAATGTCGCAGGCTCTGCTGCATCCTGGGGGGCTAACCTGACCTTCCTTCCCTTCCAGAACCTGATTAACAAGGCTGTCGTGTTATGACGACCCCCAACAAAGGAAACAAGGCCTTGAAGGTAAAGAGGCAGGTGAAGGAAAGGGGTGCAGGTGGTGGGTGCAGGCATCCACTCTAGGTTTCACGAGTGTCTGCCGCCTTCTCTTCCAGGTGAAGCGGGAGCCAGGTGAGAATGGGACCAGCTTGACAGATGAGGAGCTGGTGACCATGTCTGTGCGGGAGCTGAACCAGCATCTACGGGGCCTGTCAAAAGAGGAGATCATCCAGCTGAAGCAGCGTCGGCGCACGCTGAAGAACCGGGGCTACGCAGCCAGCTGCAGAGTCAAGCGTGTTACCCAGAAGGAGGAACTGGAGAAGCAGAAGGCAGAGCTGCAGCAAGAAGTGGAGAAGCTGGCCTCCGAGAACGCCAGCATGAAAATGGAACTCGATGCTCTCCGCTCCAAATACGAGGCTCTCCAGAACTTCGCCAGAACCGTGGCCCGGAGCCCCGTGACTCCTGCGCGGGGGCCTCTCACCTCCAGTATGGGGCCCCTTGTCCCTGGCAAGGTTGCTACTACTAGTGTCATCACAATAGTGAAATCCAAAACGGACGCCCGGTCTTAGTGAAGCGAGTGTTGCCTGAGCTTGTCTGTGCAGGGCAATTAGGCACAAAACCAGCCTGGAATCCCCAAAGCACAAACCCTCCCCACATGGGTCCGGGTTCCTTCTACTTGGCCCAGGACTGGCCTGCTGATCACTCCAGTTTTATTTTGTTGTGTCCAGATTGGTATGAGCAGTGGTGATGCGTCCCTTGTCCTTTGCAGACAGAGCCTCCCACCCAGCGGTCTGTAGCCCTCGGGCGCCCTTGGGACAGACTGCGAGATCTTGGTTTTCCAGCCAAAGAAAGTCTGTGCAGCGTGGCCGACGGCAGGGCGATGAAGGGCTTGGGGAAGGTCCGGAGGGAGGCTTTCTTCCTGGGGGCCGGGAACCCCAATTTTCGGTCACTTCCAAAGGCTTTACTTCATTACTCTTCCAGGTGGTGCATCTCGGTGCCTGACTGCCAGGCACCTGAACCTGCTGCTTTTGTCTCATTTGGTACCTGTAGTTGCAGTTGGGGTGTTCTGTGTAATAGGTTTTTATTCCTTTCTAGGTGTGCCTCTGTGCCCTAACAGTGGGTTTCCTTCAGACGTCTGTTGCGTTAGCCGTGTAAACTAGCAGTGGTGGAAAGGAAGATGCTGTCGTGCCCTGCTACCTCTGCCCCAGTGATGGCGAAGGAGCTGGGACAGGGCCCTTGCAGGGGCCCAGCACCCCAGGGGAGGGAGGGAAGGTACCGTGTTGACTGCAGGCCGGTTTTGTGCCTAATGTGTTGCACTGAACAAGACCAAAATCACTAGTTGTTCCCGTGTTTTGAGGGTATCAAGTGTCTCTAGTGTGATGGTTTACACAACCAGTTTATGTGGTTAAATAGCCCTTTATTTAAAGAGAGAAACATCATTTTAAGAGTTATTAAATTATCTAAGTTTAAAATTAAAATCAGACAGAAGAGAGAGCGTATTTATAGTCAGCTTTTTTATCTGAGAGCGTGAGAATATTTGACCGTATAAATGGGGAAATATTCTCGGAGACTTTGCTAGTTAAAAGTTAATAAATAAATAATTTTAAAGTTTCTCATGAACCTCCCGCAAACTGTTTGTGGCTCTGAGGTTAGTTTTTATAAAGAGTTATCAGACTTTATTTATAAAACTTAGAAAAAGACAAAAAAAGAGGCAAGTCCTGTTTGATATCTTTTTGCAATTGTACCAAAAGTGACTTATTCTCGACCTTGCTGGCTTCCGTTGTGTCCCCTTGTGTTGCGCTCTCTGTGCTCTCTGAGCTCTCGCGTGGCGCTGTGGTGTGGTGGTGCCAGTGGCTGCCTTTGCCATGTGCTGTCGTTTCATGCTGCCGTCATTTTCCCTAAACTCGACCGAGAGATTGAGTTGGAATCTCTCCGAATTCTCCAGAACAAGCACACAGGCAAAGGTGCTTCTGTTCTTGAAGGCAAAACCGAATGGCTGGTGCAACCAAGTAGTGAAATGCTTCTCTGCAGAGGCGTGCCGCAGGAGCACGGGCAGCTTGGGCCCCTTGCTGAGCAGCCAACGCCGGGTAGCTCAGTTACCTGAATGGGGAAAACGTTGCGCTTTCCTTCCTGCAGTAAAGGTGGTAGAGAAGTAACACAAGGCAGAATTGTCCAAGTTTAGGAGGAGACCAATGGGATTTAACTCTGGAATTGGATTCTGTGGTCAGAACTTGTGTTGCTCTCGCAGCTTGTCTGACAAGAGGGGCAAGTCTGCCTGCCTTCTGGGCAGTGTGGGACCAGCGCTAGTCCTGAGTGTCTGTGTATTACTGAAAATTAAGCTGTGGCATGGTTACTGTCTGTCCTGATGCAGCTTCTGTCTGTGGGTGTTGGAAGAGTGCTTAGACTTACAGCTGTGTGACACAGCTGAGAAGCTATTTGTGGCCAGGCTCCATTTCCACAAACACTTTGATCCCCCTCTCCCCTCCCCAGAGATTTGAGCTGATTACTGAGTTGTTTTAGAGAAGCAGGACATGGGGGTGAAGTCCATGTGATCTCCTGGCTGCTGAAAGTCTCATGAGCGGAGGGGACAGACCAGGATGGCACAAGTGAAACAGTCTTGTGGGGAGGCATGGTTCGCTGTACTGGGTGGTTTTTGGTGATGTTTCTCACGTAGCTGAACTGATACTGCTGTCCTCTGGGCTGAGAAGCAGGTAAGCCTGATGAAAGCCGCAATGTGGCAGGAGAGGAGCAGATAGGTGGTGGGGATTTCCTGCTGGAGGGGGAGATCAGCTTTGCTCTGATTGACTGGGAGTGTAGGCATAAGCTTGGGATGCTTTTCCCAGTGAACTTACTGAACGAGGAGCAGGTTAGAACATCACCTCCAGCCTTCCCCCTCCCAGCCCTGGGCTTTCTCTTCTCTGAGCTGAAGTGTCTGACATGCTGCTTCCCAGCCGTTCACTGGATGGGCTACGCACTGAGCAGCACTCGGCGCAGAGCTCTGGGCCCTAACCTTTGTCTTCCAGCTGGTGATGTGGTGGAAGAGGCAAGGTGTTCCAAAACACAGAGACCTCCAGTTGGCCTGGGGTATCAGTTCCAACCCTGTCCCTCCTGGAGCCAGCCTGAGATCGAACCTGGCTAGAGAGCCATTCTGAACCCAGCTGGAGGCCTGACCTCAGCAGGGTGAGCAGCCAAGGTTTTGTGTATGGGGCTGGTTAGGAACTGAGCTCCAGGGGCTGGAGGCTGTGGTGTGAGGAGGGCCCCATCAACAGAGCAGGCGATGACAGGCAATCCTGCGGCCATGGTGAACTTGCTTCTGTTGTACTCTGGAGCAAGGAATGTCCAGGTCCTTCCCTGCCTGCTGGGTGGCAGCCATGCTGCTGCCAGTAAGAGACTGTGCTACTTTGAAGTGAGACCGTGAGTCAGGAGGACAGAGCAGGCGGCAGCAGTGACTCCACCAGATGTTAACGCTGTTGTTCCTCCTCCCCTGTGCTGTGCTTGCTAGCTTGTGGCCCCAGCCTGCTCCGAGCGGCTGAGTGTGTTCGATGAGGACACATCCTGTAGGGGGGAGCGGGTGCAAAGCCATGGCTGAAGGGCGCCTGTATGGTAAACAGGCTCTGCAGGTGCTGGGCTGGATGTCAGCGGGGACGTGGTCCCCTCCTGAGTGCTGCTTCCCTATGTTAGGGCGTTGGTTTTGGTTTTGTTCTTGGTGAAGTGTTGGACCCCGAGTGATGTATTTCCGCAGTGTCCAAGGAGTGTCCCCCCTGCTCCGGGGGACCCGGTCCCCTGCCAGCTGGCCTCCTGTTCCCCGTGCGAGCCGACCCCTGCCCCGAGCCATCACGCTGACCTCTCTCTCGTATATAGCGTTCTGGAGTGTGACAGTTCTTGTTCCTGAGGTGCTCGTCCGTTTGGTTTCCTGCTGTGAAGGGTGTCGTGTTTTCTTTCTCCTTTTCCTGGTGCCGTTACTGCGGTGGCTGGGGAGGGGGCCCTGCCCCAGCCCGC